TATTCTCTCTTCGTGACATCAAATGGTGATATTTATATTGATGATGGATATGTGAATGGTCAAGTACAGAAATGGATAGCAGAAACAAATACATTCGTTACAGTGATGCGTGTCAGCTTATCATGTTGGGGTTTGTTTGTGGATATCAATGATACTCTGTACTGTTCAATGAATATTCGTTGGCAAGTAGTGAAGAGATCATTGAATGATCCTGTGATGGCTTCAAATCGTGTTGCTGCTGGAACAGGTTTTCAAGGATCTGCCTCGAATCAGCTTGATGGTCCTCGTGGAATTTTTGTCGATGTGAATTTGGATTTATATGTGGCTGATTTTAACAATAATCGAGTTCAGTTGTTTCAGGCAGGAGAATCAAATGGCATCACAGTAGCTGGTAACACATCACTAAATCCAACAATTACACTTCGTGGTCCAAGTGGAATTATATTAGATACTGAGAAATATTTATTCATTGTGGACCAATTCAATCATCGAATTGTTGGTTCAGGCTTGAATGGTTTTCGATGTTTAGTTGGATGTTATGGATATGGTTCACAATCCAATCAATTGTTTCGTCCAGCTAGTTTTAGTTTCGATCCTTATGGAAACATGTTTGTTATTGATACAGAAAATCATCGAATTCAAAAATTTTTATTGATGAAAGATTCTTTTGGTAAGTTGAAGAAAAGTTGAATGAAATGAAGAGATGTGAATAGACAAGTAATAAAAGTTAATAAAGACATTTTAATATAAAAAATGAAAGCAAACAATCTTCATCTTTTTTGCTGAGATTAAAGAATAGAGAAAGAAAAACTTGTTTCTTCGATGAAGTGGTAGAAAGGCTTTTCATGTTTCATGTCATGTGTCTCCAAGAATACTTAAGCAATGAAACAGTTTTTATCGAAATAAAATCTGTTCATATCTTTGTCGATACAGTTTTAATATAAATTATTCTATGATTTAACTTCATATTTCATATTTCGATGTTTGATTCAAGAAAAATAGGACAATTAAAATATCATAATTCTAACAGCTAATTTTTCTTCTTTTTTATGTAAAAACTGAATTTAGTCATTGTTTTTCTTTGAGTGTGAAAACTTTCAATATAAAATATTATGAAACATCAATATTCTCATAAATAAATGTTTGATTGATGATTTGTTCTTGGAATAGTTATCATAATATTTAATTGCAGCGAATAATATTGAACAGTTGAAGACAATTTCTAATGTGATATATATAATTGTTAATGAGGGATATTATATGTTATTATTATTTCTATAATTGTAAACAAAGAATATTTTTTATAAAACAAATAAAATCTATTGATCAGGTTTTGAATAAAAATATTTATTTGTTTGATCAAATTCATTTATTGAAGATGATCAATAAGAAAAAATGTTTTTCAATCAAATCTATTCGAGATTTTTCTCAAATGAAAATTTTACATAAGTCAATTAACAAAGTTCTGTTTACATTTCTAAACTTCAATGAGAAAAACTTTCTCTCATTGATAAAAGATTTGTTAGTTGTAAAACTATTTATTTTACTTTTTCTTGAAGATGTGTAGTTAATGTCTGGTTTCTTTTTAAGAGAATTATTTATTCTTTTTATATGAAAATAAAGATCTTTTTGCTTTGTTTTTTATTTCATAGGAAAAACATTGAAATCTGTAAAATACTATTAAGATTACAAAGAAAGATTTGTTTTATTTCGGTTGGATAAAGACGAGATTATGCCTGATCTTTGATGAAGTTTTCAAGTATATTGAGATAAAAAATTTTCGAACGAGAATGTGTATGAAGAATATCTATAGAGAAAAAAGGAGGCTTTTGGCAGATCATAATAAATCGTATTTTTTCTCTCTCATTTTTCTTTCCTTTTTCATTCATTATCGATATGACGTGTAGTGACACTATTTTTTATTGCGTAATGACATTCACTTAAATAAATCAAGTTATGTTCTGAATAATATGGACAACTGAGATAACATAGGGACATTTCTCGTTTCCTTTTGATTCCTTCTCAACATTAACTTTAACATGTTTATTAGAAAAAAGTTTGAGAAACTTTGAGTAAATGTATGAAAAGTGAAATTTGTATTTGAATAAATATTTCGAAGAAAAATATCTGCAGAATTATTTAAAAAAATCAGCGTAATAATTAAAATTCACTAGAGAAAGGCGAGTGAAACGTTGAAAATAGCAAAGAAAGAAATTTGATTGATAAAAGTTTCTTCTTTTCTCTTGATTATTTTTGCTTATATAAATAATTTCTTTTGTTCAACTATTTTCTTTGATACAATTTATTCGGTTCTTCCACTAGATTTCTCAACAGAAAGTAATAAGAAAATTTTCTATCTAAAAAGATGGACATTGATGTTGTAAACAAAAATATTTTAACAAGATAACAATTCATATTTCATATGAAAATTAATAAAAATCATCCCTAAAGTCAATGTTAATAAACATTTTTTAAATATCTTTGTAATCAAGATTTTTTTCAAAGAAACTTCATTTTTCTTCTACGAATATATAAATTAAGAATTTCATTTAGTTCACAGTTCGTCTCTATATTCTTTCTATTTTTCTTGTTTTTAGCTCTTTTATTAAATCAGCCAAAGTTTTGCTCACCAGCCATTCGGAATTCCAATGGAATTACCTTTGCTGATCAATCGATTATTGGTCAATCTCCTACTGCCATTTTTGTGAGCACAAACAACACAATCTATGCCATTAATCGAGAAAAGAACACAATTGTAATGTGGCAAGAAGAGAATATCAATCCAACAAACATCATTACCGGTAGTTTTATAAATCCTTATTCTCTGTTCGTGACATTAAATGGTGATATTTATATTGATGATGGTGAGAAGAATGGTCAAGTGCAGAGATGGAGTGCAAAAACAAATATCTTTATTACGGTGATGAATGTTAACTCATCATGTTATGGTTTGTTTGTCGATATCAATTATACTCTTTACTGTTCAATGCCTAGTTATCATCTAGTTTTAAAAAGATCGTTAAATGACCCTGTGATGAATTCAAATCGTGTTGCTGCTGGAACAGGTATTGGAGGACCAGACTCGAATCAACTCAGAAGTCCACGTGGAATCTTTGTCGATGTGTATTTGAATTTATATGTGGCAGATTGTGAAAATCATCGAGTTCAATTGTTTCAGTTAGGAGAATCAAATGGTATTACATTGGCTGGAAGTTTAACATACCCTGCAACAATTTCACTTGATTGTCCAAGTGGAATTGTATTAGATGCTGAGAAATATTTATTCATTGCAGATCAGAACAATCATCGAATTGTTGGTTCAAACTTCGATGGTTTTCGATGTTTAGTTGGATGTGATAGAAGAAGCGGTTCACAATCTAATCAATTGAATAAGCCATTCAGTTTGAGTTTTGATCGTTCTGGAAATATATTTGTTACTGATCAAGACAATCATCGAATTCAAAAATTTAAATATTTAAGAAGACTTTGTGGTAAGTTGAAGTACAACCCAGTGAGATGATGAGATGTGAATGTTGAAATTGAAAAGTTGTATAGTTTTTGTTAAAAGAAACTGAGGTTCTAAGCAAAAGAAAATACGGTATGTAACCTCTTCGCCGAAAAAGATTTCGTCGAAAACGGTTTTTTGTTCGGAGGCCGCTGCAAAAGTGTGGGTGAAGAGAAAAATTCTTTCGATGAAATATTTTTTCGGCGAAGAGGTACACAATCGAAAATACTGTACATGAAACTTCTTTGACCGAAAAATAATAAAATTGTGTAAATGAAATAATTGATTAATTTAAGAACTTCAATATAAATTAAGTAAATTTATTTAAAACATGAAATTTCAATTGGCTGTTGATATTCTTCTTTTTAAATATTCCCGCTCTCAAGATGTGAAGATAACTATCAGATCAAAAAAATCATCAAAGATTTCGATTGTTATTCAAAGAATAAAATAGAATTTCTTAGATGTTACGTAGAAACTATCTGATCGACGTAAACAATATTATGTTCTATTTGATTGATTGCGAGAAAAATCCTCAGTTAAACCTAAGTATTTGGAAGTTTCTTTCTCTCTTTTCATTGGCCAGATTTTGTTTCGAATTTTTGAGTTTCATGTAAAAGTCAAACATTGTGCTATGCATGTCGATTAAAGGTTTTCATTAGGTTCTCTTTGATACTGTTCGATCTACATAATGTTTGCTCTTTTCAAAATCTGGAAAAACAAATAATATCGCAGAATGAATTTATATGCTTTCTAGTTGAGAAATAGATTTCCATTCTTTTGAGCACAAATTGCCAGTTCAGGAGATTAGGAACGTATATTTAAAGCGAATACAAATTTCTACTCAAAAAGACTGGTACCTTTGTGTACTCACGATAAACTTTAATTTGCTTTGTTGTTCATTTAGTCAATACTTTCTCTGGTCTCCAAAAGAGCTATTCATCATCACTTACTAACAACAGTCAAATGTACTACCGAGATTGTAAGAAAGAAAATTTTTATTATGAATCTATTCAAGTGAAGGTGATCAAAAGTGGTTACTACACTTTTCGTGTTAGTGGTGCCATTGATCCATATGGATCTATTTACAACAACAAATTTAATCCACTTGATCCAGTGGATAATTTGCTCAATCAAGATTATGCCCATAACTCTGATATTCAGTTAAAACTTGATATTTATCTTAATGCTAACATAATATATGTATTGGTTATGACAACATTTGATTCAAAAGAAATTGGAGAATTTTCGATCAATATATCAGGCAGAAATGAAGTTAATCTGAAGCGTCTTAGTAAGTATATAGATATTTGTGATATACATTAAATAATTTGCACAAAATATGTAATCTGCCTTCTAAATTCGATCGTATCTTTTATTCTATATCAAGAGAATTTACTGAATTTATAGTATTTAATATCAAGGCATTTTCTGACAGGATATCTACTCTTGTGTTTTTTTACTACTGCCTTAGTAGACAGATGCTGTTCAGTTTCTACAAGTACTAAATGAAAAATATTCTAAAAAGAATAGTCAATGAAATGTTTGAGAACATTTAAGAGTTAAATGTCGAAAATTCAAAGAGTATCTTGTTGTAGCTCAGCACTTTTAGATTTCTGTAATATACTGATTTCAGAGTGCTCACTTAGCCAGTGTGCGCTTGACACATTTACTAATCTTTGTTTGTAAAATTAAATCTTCATAAAAAATCTCACAGAATTTGCTTTTGTCGATGTTAGATCATAGGATCAAAATTCTCTGAATTATTTGACTTTTTTTATTGAACAGGTACTCCAGTAAATATTCAGTTGATATATTCATTAAAATTAACTGATAATAGTCCAACATACTATCGAGATTGTCAAGTACCGCAATGTCATTATGAAACTTTACAAATTCATGTTAATACAACGGGTTCGTATATTCTTTGGAGTAAAAGTAATACAGATGCATATGGATATATCTACAAAAATGATTTCAATCCTCTAAAACCATCTGAAAATTTACTTCTATCACATGGAGGTGAATGTAACGATGGGCAATTCAAATTAATCATCGATCTCGAGAACACTACTCGATACATATTAGTAGTGACAACACGCGATCCTAAAACCACTGGGGACTTCTCTGTTTTTATCTCTGGACCAAACAATATCAGTCTTAGTCGTTTCAGTAAGTATATATATGCTTTTTTCGATAACGAATATATAATGACATAGAATACGTAAGAAGAAGATTTCTTATATTTTCTTATTAGTGATCAATTCTTATTTTAGATTTAGAAGAAATATCTATCGAGTTATTGAATTAAATAGTTTTCAGAATCTTTTGGTCTGTTGATCTGTTATAAAAGACATCTCTTTAGTATGAATTGTAAATAGATTTTCCATATTTTGGATGTTTATACTTACAGCCTTTTAAATCTTTATGGATATACAGTTTTCAAAGGCTCGAGATTTTGAAAATGTAAAAGTTTATTGGATAATTTCTCTATTTGTAGAAATCAGTAGTGAAAGATGCACATATTTTCATACATTTGCAAACCTTTTCATTTGAGAAACAAGTAGACTGTCAAAACAACTGAATTTCTTCATTATTCTCTTATCTAAATGTGTCCAACATTTTAGGTCCAAAACAAAGTAGTTGTGTGATTGGTGATCAATGTAACGTTTATATGAAAGGGATTGGTTTAACTCTCGATGATATTCTGCGGGATGAACTTCAACCGAATACAGTGTTGAATAATCAATCATTTTCGATTAAATTAAGTGCGGGTTTAACAATAATTATGTTTGTCGCTGGGTTAATTAATAGTATTCTTTCTTTTATTACATTTCAAAGTAAAGATGCTCAACAAGTTGGATGTGGAATGTATCTATTAGCATCATCGATTACTTCTCTTTTGGCAATTAGTATGTTCATAATCAAGTTCTGGTTTGTTGTTCTTACTCATATCAATGTGTCCACTAGTCTCTCTGTTCTTCGTGGAGGTTGTGCATCTATCGAACCAATTCTAAAACTTTTTCTCTACTCAGATGATTGGCTCAATGCTTGTGTAGCAGTTGAACGAGCAGCACTTATTTTTAAAGGAGTAAAATTTGATAAGAAAAAAAGCAAATTTGTTGCTCGACGAACAATTATTATTTTACCGTTCTGTATTTTTGGTACACTTATTCATGAGCTCGCATTTCGCAGATTGTTCGTTTATGAAGCAGGACTAGATAATATAAATACGAATAAGACTAATGACGACACAATCAAGCGGTATGTATCATGCATTACTCGTTATTCTCCTTCTGTCCAAGATTACAATACAGCCGTTCTATTTTTTCATCTTGTTGGTCCCTTTATTATCAATCTTTTCTCTGCGCTGTTCATCATCTTTGGAGGTGCTCGACAACGATCAAATGCACGAACTGACCAAAATTTTAAAGAGCATGTTCAAGAACAATTCCGTGAACATAAACAATTGATCATTAGTCCAATAGTTTTACTCGTTTTATCAATACCTCGTCTCATTATTTCATTACTGCCTGGTTGTGTGAAAACATCTGAGAACTTATGGTTGTATCTTGGACCATATTTCATTTCGTTCACTCCTCCGATGCTAATTTTTCTTATCTTTGTCTGTCCTTCAGAATTGTATATGAAAGCGTTTAAACAATTGTTCAATCGTATTCGAAGACGTATTCCTTAATCAGTTCGTTCAGTTTCAATGACATGACTATTATAATAAATACAAAAGACATTATTTATTTGTTTGCTTCTCGTAATGAATCAATCGATGTACTGTTGCATTTGAAAATCATGCTTGGAAACAGATATTCAATACCTGTTTATAGCTTGCTGTAGATGATTATCAATTGAAAAAACAACATGTTAAATGATAATAAATAGTACAAGCACAGAAAACGATTGTTATAGAGATGATAGAGACTAATGAAGAAATGCTGTGCAATAGTTGATGTGCCTATTAGGCGAAGTGGTAAGGATTAGAAGAAACTATGTCAACTTTACACAAACTATATTCTTTGCAACATTATTCACATTTCTTCTTGTCTGTATGTCTGTTGTGTGCTTTTCATATTGTTTTATTTTCTGTAGTAAAATCGAGCGGAAGTGCTAAGATATCCAAAAAGAAAGAATTGGATATATGTTCTATGAAACTTCAAATAAGTCTTTTGAAAGATTTCATCCAATGGCATAACAAATCTGCTTAAAAAAGTTAATGAAACTATCTTGAGGGTGTCGGTGAGGGTGAGTATGTTTTATTTAATCCCTTACACAGCACTATTTCCTTCATAGCTTCGTCTGACAAACGTTCCGAATCATTGATTTTAAGCAAAGGATTTAAAAGCTGTATAATCCTTTCTTTCAGAATTTGCTTTAGTTAGCTACACACCCGTCCATTATTCGTATTTTTTGAATGAATATACCAGTGTTGATTGACAATAAGTATATAGAAGAGTTCTAACGTATAAAATGCTATGATATCCAATGTTTTTTTTTTATTTTTAAAAGAGATTCAGTGAAACATTTTGATACATTCTAATTACTGATAATAATAACCTTGATCTTACTCAGCAATGAAACTAAAAGTCAAATATTGATTGAAGATATAAATATAGTTTTCAATCTGAAACGATTGATACTCGATGATTATTAAACAAACAGCAACGAACTATGTTTTTTTCTTACATCATCATCTGATTTCAACTTATATGTCTATTCTCGAAAACTGTTAGCAAAAATGTATCGATTATCACATTTTTCCTGAAATAGCCATGCCATCATAAACCTTTAACGGTCACGAATTCTAAGAAATACTCGAGGAGGATAAAACGAGACTTCATCTATTCAAAAAAAAAGATTTGAAATTTTTACTACAGATAAATAATTTTGAATACTATGTCTAAATGTATATATTCTATTATTTCATATAGTCATATAAAATATCTTAATGAGAAAAAGTAAATTCATTTTTTTCTCTTGAGTAGAAAAAAAACCATGATTTTTGTATTAAACAAATATCGGAGTACATTAAATTTTGTCAACGATAATAATAATTATATATATATATGTTAATAAATGGAACAGAAAAAAAGAAACAAAAACTCGGAAATAATATCTTATTTATATGATGAAAAATAAATTTTTTTAATTAAAACTATTTGGAGTAGATGATGATGATGTTGATTGACGATGTTCAGTATTAATTATACGATTATTAGTTGTTGTTGTTGTTGTTGATGATGATGATGTTTCTTGTTTTTCTCGTTTAATATTAAGTGACGTAGCTTTATCTTCATTTTTACTAATGTCATTTAAACTTTGTAATTTATTGTCTTTTTTCCATTTCATTCGACTAAATACGATAAAAAAAATTTCATTAAAAAAAACAAAAGAAAATATTTTATACCGATTTTGAAACCAAATCTAAAACGAAAAAAAAAAAGACAAATATAATTTTATATAAAATTTTATTTTACTTTAATTTGTCGTTCTGTTAAAGCAAGACTATGTGCTATTTCAATTCGTCTTCTTCGTGATAAATATCTAAAGAATAAAAATATTTTTCAATTATTAATCTAAATATTCAAAATGAAATTCTATTCAAACCGATTAAAATGAAATTCTTTTTCTAATTCAAGTGTTTGATATCTTGAATATGATGTTCGTGTTCGTTTCGTTTCACCAATATGTGGATCTAAAATCGCGTGATAAAATACATAGATCATCATTTTGCATATCATCAGATAAAAACAAAATAAAGATGAAATTTGAGAAAGAGAAACAAAAAAAAGACATTAATCTCACACGCACTTGACATTGCTTAGTTTCTCTCGACATTGGACTTCCTGAATATATACATTCACCGACATGTTTGATGCCTTTTTTTTTCTTTTCTTTTCACTATTGTTCGAATACAGTCACATCGATTACATGACCATTAGAACCATCTGTTGAGTCTTTGACAATGAGTCGGCATCATCTTGTATGCGTGTGTTTCTTTTTCTCGTATCTTTTGTCCCAATCAGATTGCAAGGCAAACGTCGATATATATATATATATATACAAACTCATTTATTCATTCGTCCCGACCAGAACGAGCCCATAAATCTCCTCTCACGCGCAAGAAAACGACATAAATAGCCCATAAAAAAAGATTGTATGTATATGGTAAAAACGCTGATGTTAGAATATAAACAAAACAAAAAGAAAAGTCAAGAAAGAAAAGAAATGAATTGAATTCTATATATATATCTTTTCATATGAACTTACCACAACTATTATGAATACGTCTCATCCATGGATATATATTTTGTTGTTGATTTATTTGTTGTTGCTGATGATGTTGTTGTTGTTGTTGTTGAATTGGAACTGAAAATGAATCAGTTTGTTGTTTTAATATTTGTTGTTGAGGATGTGGATAGGTAATATAAGAATTGACAAATGAATGTGGATGATGAGGATGATGTTGTGAAGAATTATTTGATGTTAATGTTGATGTAAATGCATGATTATGCATAGATGGATCTGATCCAAGACCTGTTGGTGTCATATTTGCGTATGAATAATCAAATGCATTGACAAATGATCCAGTAGACATATTTGAATAATAATTTCCATTAAGATTAGAATCATTTTGTCGATAATTAAAAAAATGTCGAACGAGTGGATCATTATTAAATGGTGAAGGTGATGTCGATGTTGCTATAACAGTATCAAATGGAGTTGTTTGTGGATTTGATGATAAACATAATGTAAAATCTGTATTATTTAAATATGTTGTATTTGTATCAAATGAATTATTAATATTAATATCATGAATAGTATTTACGGGCGTTATATTTTCTTCTGATGATGTACTGTTACTACTATTATGATTATTATTATTGCTGCCATTTGATGTTGAAAGTAAATGATGATAGCTCAATGATGACGCTGTTGACAATGCATTAGCAACAGCAGCAGTAGTGGGAGTACTAGAGAAGGTAGCCATTTGTCCGGTAATTGAGTACACACGCGGAGCTTTAACGACGTTAATAGCGGCGATAATCGGTCTTGACGAACATCATTTTGTTAGTTTTAATGGGAATATGTATAGAAGAAAGAGAAAACGGTAATTGAGAAGGAATTAGATAGGCCAGATGAGATGATTGAAAGTCAGTCAATTGAATGGTCGATGCGTTTCTTTGTATGCGTAATGGTGCAATCAACTTGAGATAATGGTCGTTTGGGAGCCTATATAAATGACTTTCAATATATTGCTATAACGAGTTATTGCTTTCTTTTTCTTTTCTTTCCTCTCTTTCTTGTCTTTTCTTTTCTATCGCTCTGCATAACGATAGGTTGAATATATTTTTTTATCGAACGCATTTAGTCCAATCAAAAAGTCATTTATTTGTATATGATGAATAGGAGATGAATACAAGCTACATATGGTTTTTTTTTATTTGCAAAAAATACATTTGTACCATATCTTTTCTACAATCATATATGTAAAGATGAATAATTGTGTAGAGCTTGATATATATTGAATTAAGAGTCAAATTTTTTTATGTATGTAAAAAGGACATTCATATACATATACTTTTTTTGTTCTGTTATCATGACTCTATTAGGCAACTTTTATCAATGAATTTATTTTTAGATTTTTTTCAAAAAAAATTTTTTTTTTCTGGAAAAAGAGATGATGATTGTAATTATAAAAATAAAGTTAAGATTAAAAATTTAAATATCATTAATTAAACATAGATGAATCCGAATGATTTTTATAAAACATGGAACTTTTATTCAACTGATAAATCATTTCTTTTTGTATGTATTATTCAATATGTCTAGAGATATACATATTGGAACATTTCCCTTCGTTCTTCTATCACATATACATATAAATCTTTTCTTTCTCTCATATATGTCCTATATACGTACGTACGCATACAGTGATTGTCAAAAGTATCCAACCAATTTCAAATTCAACTCTGAGATATATTATTCGACAGAAAAAGAATTTTCTTTCAAATATACTATTAGAAAAACTACTATTTACTGCATATAAAATACTATTTTGATCGTTGGTCTATCTCAGAAAGTTTAGTCTGACTATTGCCAAAATAACATCCTTATTCTTATTCTTGAATTGAAATGGTATTAGAAGGTTTTTTAAATAAGGTGCTAACAATTTTTTTGACAACTAGATGGCACACGATCTAACCAGAAGTTCACGATGAAAAGAATCTAGAAAAACGAGAGGCAGGATCTTCGACTAGTGCACTTTCAGCTGTAAGACATTTGTTAGAAAGAAGTGACACCCAAGTTTTGCTTCTGCTTTTCATTTTAATTTTGTCGAAATTTAAAAAAGTCAATCGTATTTTTGTGATGTTTACTGTAAACGAACTAAACGTTCTATTGAAAATCGAAAAACAAACGATACCAGTTCAATTCTGATATTTCGTTGCTGAGATAATTGTAACACAAAGTAACAACTTTGAATGCGTCCGTCGGGATACGAAGAAAACTCGCGAAGGTGAGCGAAAATATATATGAATGTCATTGAAACTTGTTATCTTTTGTTCTATTTAAATTTGAAGGAAGCATGGATACCATGTGTTAATACGAGTAAAACTGGATTGTGATTTTCTATCACAGTCAGTCATATAACTTAGAAGTTTTGTTTGAATTATTATATTATATGATATTCTTTTTTATAAACTAAATAATCTCCAAATATCGGTGTTATTTATTTATTTCATATTATCGAAGATATAAAATAAATTAAATGAACTAGAATTAGTTTGTCTAGTACATTCCAGTTTATTACAATATTGTGTTAAGTCTATCATTTTTTCTATTTATCTCCACTGCAGCATTGAATAGTAATAATTTTTAGAAAAAATAATTTAAATCCACAATAATAATGTTATTTTGTGGATGGTATTCTATACATTTTTGAACCTGGCAATGTTTTAATAGCTATAGCCAGTACTCAATAAGTAAATATAGAACTATTTTGTTCAGTTTCAAGTCCATACAAAGCTCCAAGTGCAATTAATGATACATGCTTTTGATGTAAAATTTGAGATCTATGAAAAAAGAAATCTTTAGAATTTTTTATATTATTATTTAATCTGAAATGCATGTATAAATCTGTAGTTTCGCTTTTGAAAAATAATGATTCTGGTACACAAAAAACAATAAACGCACATAATTTGATAAAGCACTCAATAAGTCTCTTTTCTCATGTAAACTATATAGTTCTTGAGCACCTCTTTTTTTTTGAATTACTATCAACAATAGTATTTTATACTCAAATTATGAAAAAATTTCTTAATATTTTTTGTATTTTTTAAAAACTATTTTCAATGAAACTCTTCAATAATTTTTTACGAAACACTTTGCTTCTTTTAAAAGAGAGCAAAAATTTTTCTTAGATCTTACTTTCATCAATATTGAATCTACAGTTTTTTTCCATTCATTAGCATAATATTTAACGCATGCTCCTTGCACAAAATTCCATAAAGCTTTCTCCATTTTCTTTTCATAATAAATTGCATACATTCATATAATGTCTAACAACAGAGTGTAAGAAAAAAACTAATTCACTGAAACCATAGTATTTCTCTTTCTACCTGTACTCGATGAAAAAAAAATGTTGCCTACACATTTACAAACTGCAGTTATGATGAGACAGAGGCAAGAAAAAGTTGGAAAGAAGAACAATAAAATAAATGAGGATTGTTGGCTTCTCTTTTGTTCATTCTTTCAACAACATTACCAACAAGCGTGTTTGCTTTGTTCTGTTTTTTGCTGCTCTGCACAATATTATTTTCAAACGTAACTAGGTGGAATTTGTCCTTGAGCGACAAAAAATCCAGAAAAAACAAGTCATTGCCTGTATAAAGAAGAACGGTGATTTTTCTTTTCATTTAAACAACAACAGCTACTGACAACTTCACCTTCAACAAAAAATTACAGCAATATCAAAATGAGTGAATCAAACTCAAATGAAAACGCTGTTGTATCTTCAAAATTAACAGCAACACCTGCCCATACCCACCCAAATTACCTTCTCATTTGGGTAGACGCCAGTATCGATCAAGCTGATAAGGATTGTCAAGACACATTGGATCAACTAAGGAAGGTGGTCAATGAAGTCAATATATGCACTGAACCGGATCAGTGCATTCAAGTACTTGGTAAGGTTGACAAGAAACGAGCCTTTGTTATTACATCAGGCTATTTGGGTCAACATTTAGTTCCTGAAATTCATGGTATACCAAAGTTAGATGCCATTTATATCCTCTGTGGCAACAAATCCAGACATGAAGGATGGACTCAAAACTGGACAAAAATTAAAGGTGTTCATACAAACATCGAAGAAATATGTCAAGCATTACAAGTGGCTGTTAAACAGCATGATCAGGACACAATTGCTGTAAGTTTTCTCTCGGTAAATGAAATGGCCTCAACTGAAAATTTAAATCAGTTGGAACCAACTTTCATGTATACCCAACTATTCAAGGAAGTTCTCCTTGATATCAAATACGATCACAAGGCAATCAAGGATTTGGCCATTTTTTGTCGCAAACTTTATTCAGACGACAAATATGAATTAAAAAATATTGATGAATTTGAAACTGATTATCGTCCACAAAAAGCACTATGGTGGTATACACGTGACTGTTTTACCTACAAAATGCTCAATCAAGCACTTCGACTTATGGATGCCGATATAATCATTAACATGGGGTTCTTTCTACGGGATGTACATAAACAAATTCAACAGCTGCATGAACAACAAGTTAATAGTTATGGTGGAGAGTCTTTCAAAGTATATCGAGGACAAGGTCTTATGAAAGCAGACTTTGAAAAACTTCAGAAAACAATAGGTGGACTTATGTCATTTAA